AAGACACTCATGAGCCAACTGATGTAGCTCTAACCAGAATAAACAAACATGACTGCACTCCTATAGATTCCTTTGAAATACATTCAGGTGAACTCTTTTTGCTAAATTCTGTGTGCAACCAACAAGAACTGACCATTTCCATTTACTTTCTGAGTGGAATGTTTTCTCCTGGCATTATTCATGTATTTTTCTTTTCTTTCCATTTCTCTTCCCTTTTTTTAAAAAAAACAAAAGAGACAGGATACTCATATTATAATTTTTGAGTTCCAAGAGTAAAGGTGGATAGTTTGTTTTGGCTCCTATGGCACCCAGAGTATTATGACAAAACAATAAATTGAACAGCCAGCTTTCCTCTAGGCATTTAAGTTGATTTATTTGTAATTGGCGGGAGAAAACTTGTAACATTTGCAGAATATTACATTGCCAAAAGGAGATTGGGGGGGGGGGGATAAAGGAGAGGGGGAAAAGAAAAAGAAAGAGCAGCAGATATAACATGCTTGTTTGCATTTCCTTATGTAAGTGGTTATAGAGATGCCTATGCCTGAACATAAATGTCATTCTTAAAAGTCATGGAGGCTAATCTAGCCAAATGAGAAAAACAGTCATTATGGCAACTGTTTGTACAGGACTGAACATGATAAAAAACCTGAAATAAGGTTTAAAAACTAAAAGCATAGCAATTTTCACTCTTTATGGTGCTACCTTGCATCTCCTTCCCCACCCCTGATGATCCTGCCATGCAATGTATATCCTGTGCAGGTGTTTAGTCTCTAACTCAGACAATATGAGGGAGAGTAGGGATGCTCAACAAACTGCATACACTTGCACTGTCACTCCCCCATAGCCAACCCCAGAGCTCTTAGCAGGATAGAGGGTGAGCATTTACTTTGGGCAGCCTGCTATTATTGTATGAGCCAGCTCTACCATTAGGAAGAGAAAGCCAGCTGCCCCAAGTTTAAACTGTCTAAAGTAAAGTAAGAAGGGAAATGCTAGGGAATGCTCAGACTTTTGTACAATGGCACTTTTTCACTTGCCAGTAAGGTAATGTTCAAGATCCTGCAAGGTAGACTCCAGCAATACATGGAACGAGAATTGCCAGATGTACAAGTTGGGTTTAGAAAAGGCAGAGGAACGAGAGACCAAATTGCCAATATCCGCTGGATAATGGAGAAGGCAGGGAGTTTCAGAAAAACACCTATTTCTGTTTCATTGACTATTCTAAAGCCTTTGACTGTGTGAATCATAATATATTATGGCAAGTTCTTGGTGGGATGGGCATACCAAGCCACCTTGTCTCTCTCCTGAGGAATCTGTGTAAGGACCAAGTAGCAACAGTAAGAACAGACCATGGAAAAACAGACTGGTTCAAGATTAGGAAAGGCATACAGCAGGATTGTATACTCTCACCCAACCTATTCAACTTGTATGCAGAACACATCATGCGATGTGTGGGGCTTGACAAATCCAAGGGTGGAGTTAAAATTGCTGAAAGAAACATTAACAACCTTAGGTATGCAGATGATACCACTTTGATGGCCCAAAGCAAGGAGGAACTGAGGAGCCTTCTAATTAAGGTGAAAGAAGAAAGTGGAAAAGCTGGGTTGCAGTTAAACACAAAGAAAACCAAGATTATGGCAACCAGACTGATTGATAACTGGCAAATAGAGGGAGAAAACATAGAGGCAGTGACAGAATTTGTATTTCTACGCACAAAGATTACTGCAGATGCAGAGTGCAGCCAGAAAATCAGAAGACGTTTACTTCTTGGGACAAGAGCAACGACCAATTTCGATAAAATAGTTAAGAGTAGAGACATCACACTGGCAGTGAAGATCCGCATAGTTAAAGCAATGGTATTCTCCATAGTAATCTATGGATGCAAAAGCTGGATTGTAAGGAAGGCTGAGCAAAGGAAGAGAGATGCTTTTGAACTGTGGTGTTGGAGGAAAATTCTGAGAGTGCCTTGGGCCGCGAGAAGATCCAACCAGTCCATACTCCAGGAAATAATGCCCGAGTGCTCACTGGAGGGAAGGATATTAGAGGCAAAGATGAAGTACTTTGGTCACATAATGAGAAGACACGAAAGATTAGAGAAGATAATGATGCTGGGGAAAATGGAAGGAAAAAGGAAGAGGGGCCGATCAAGGGCAAGAGGGATGGATGGTATCCTTGAAGTGATTGGCTTGATCTTGAAGGAGCTGGGGGTGGTGAAGGCCAACAGGAAGCTCTGGTGTGGGCTAGTCCATAAAGTCACAAAGAGTCGGAAGCGACTGAACAAATAAACAACAACAACAAGAACAACAACAACAAATCATACCAAATCAATTTCTGAATGATAAGACTATTTTTATGTAGCTCTCATGACGCAGCCTACTCTCATGTGGTGAAGGAGTGGGATTTTGGTCTCATGCAGCAGTTTCTGGGGAAGGACATTCTTTCAGCCCTTGGTTTCTTCTTCTGATGGAGTATAAAGTGATGTGCTCTGCATGTCTCAAAGTGGTTGAGAACATTTTTCTTTGCAAAACAGGTTTTGATGATCCACCCAGGAAACAGGATGAGTACAGTGGTGGACTAGATCTAAAAATATTGGTTGCCAGGGGATCAAGGGGGTCTACCCACAACTATAAGGCTATCCTTTGAATTTTTATAAAAAATAAATGATTTTTTAAAAAAATACATAAATGGAAAAGGTACAGTTAAATTATTATTAAAATGAATAGAATATAAATTTTAGTTTCATACAGTAAAAATAATGGAACTGTTATATAAAGATCATTAACATTTTAAATATATTTGGGGGGGGTTGTATATTTTTTTATGTATACAAAATGAAGAAAAACAAAGAAAACATACAATGTTCTTAATTTCATCAATCAAAATACACACATTATTTCCCCAATCTCATCAACTCCCCCTTCTCCCTCGTGAACCCCCTCCTATGACTTCTGACACCATACCCTATGGAATTAGTATCTAACAAAATTGTATCCTTATCATTTTATTAATAAATTCCTCATGTGACTATTTCAAAATTTATTTTTGTCTTCTTTTTAAATACCCAAAGGCAAGACTCCATTTTTTAACAAACTCATCATTGTTCCTTCTCGCAAAAATTTGGCAACAACAAAAGATTTCTGAATACCACGTAGTGGCTTTTAAAGACACATTCACATATCTGTTAGCATCAACGCACAGTGATTACTTTGGACTCTGCATGAAGTGGTTCTGCTGTACTTCATAGAAAGTGAAAAACCAGCCTATTTAGAAAGCCTTGCAGATGCTGATTTATTATCATTAAATGTTTTATGCTTATATACCCGGGGTTGTGTAAAATTCTATTGAGCAAAAAGAGATCACGAGTGGAAAAGTTTAACAAGCCCTGGCAAGGAGTTGGCATGAGTCTCGAAAGTGTTCTGCTAAAACTTTGAATAAATACAATCAATACATAACTTTTTCTCCAGTGTAAGAACATAGATGATGGGACTGAGGCCCAGCCCAACCTTTCCTTCATTTAATTCTAAACAATGTGAATGCTTTTTTCCTCTTTTATTTTTTTTTTTGCCTGTGATGTCCATATTTCCTTCTACAATACTACAGTGAGGTTGTGGCCTCTTCTCAGGACAACTTTCCAAAGTTTGCTGTGTAGGTGGTGAGGTTTGGCATTTTCTTTTTTCTTTTTTAATAATTTATTTATTTATTTATTTATTTATTTATTTATTTGCTTTATTTGTATACCGCTCTTCTCAGCCCTTAGGCGACTCAGAGCGGTTTACAACAATTTAGGTATACACAATACAAAATCATTAAGCATTTAAAAGCAATAGCATCACAAATCATTAAACATCAATATCAATACATCACTACATCAATATAACAAATCCATCAGGTCTCATCAATGAAATCAGAATCCAAACTCGTTATCCGATATTCCGTGTTCTGATAATTCATTTATTCATTTCTTCTAATTCTTTTCAAATGAGGTTTGGCCTTTTTCATGGCTCCAAAGCTGACCCAGGCTAGATCTACATTGCCATATAATCCAGATTATCAAATTAGATAATCCATATTATCTGTTTTGAATTGGATTACATGATGCTGAATCTACACTCCCCTATACCCCAGGATCTGGTCCCAGAGTATCTACTTTGAACTGGATTATTATAAGTCTATATTGCCAAATAATCTGGGATTATCAGATAACCTGGGATCAGATCCTGGAATATACGGCAGGGTAGATCCAGCCTGAGTTTCCACTGCCCTATAATCCAGTTCAAAATTGATAATTTGGATTTTATATGGCAGTGTAGATTATGCCTCAGGTACAGTGACATGGGAGATGATGGCACTTCTTTGATCTAGGACAGCCCCTCCCAAAACGAAGCCTAAAAGATTGAACAAGAAATGGGGAAGAGGGTTGGTTAATTCACAATTTTGAAAGCAATTTTAGTGCCCACCATTTTGAGGGCAATATTTTCCCCAGTTTTCTATATCCCAGTTCTTCTCTGGGTAATTTAATGGCATTGTATTGACTATCTCCTTCAAGTCACATTGGATCCTACCTTTCAGAACAGCATAGAAGCCACAGATAGCTTCCTCAACTAGTCTATTTAGAAGAAACATGTTTCCGGACCTTCAATTTGTTGTCAGAACATGCTGTGTGTGTGTGTGTGTGTGTGTGTGTGTAATTTCTAAAGAGCACTGAAGGCACTGGGGGCCACATGAAAATCTTAAGGTTTACTAATTAACCACCCCAATTTAGGCCACATACAACACTGACATTTGTTTGTAAGGAACATCTTTAACAAGCTTTGGGCAATCAAGTCACTTGCTTTTAACTAATTTGTCGTCTAATGTGGTTTTGCGTCACTTTTAAGTCTTCATACTTGACATCCTCTATATTTTGCTACCTCTGTGAGGCATATTATTCCCCTGCAAGGCAGTATGAAAACCACACCCAGTGACATCTACTCCAAGCAATGTGATGGTGGAACAGACAGGATTCCTTACATTACAGATTGAATCCCTGGATTCATTCCCATCTTATAGCACAGTAATCTTGGAAAGTTGCTCTTCACAGGTATGACAAGGAATACTAGATGCACTGAAGGACATCGGATGCAAATATATCTTCTTGGGGAAGGTTCCTAACAAGGAAACAGCTGGAACATGACCCAGAAGCACTTGAAATATGCAGTGATGCTTAAAGATCATGGAAAATGGTAATGCACCATGTACAAAAAATAACAAAGAGGGCTGGGAAATGGCATTTGCCATTATTTTAATATCTGTTTCCTTTGAGCCCATCCCCTTTGGCTATGCACTGATGGATCTTCATTGTGTCTCAGCCAGATTGCCCAAATCCAAGCCCCAACAAGAAACTGGATGAGCAAGTTAACTCACTGAGTCAACAGGAATAAAACATGAACATTGGCTTATCATTACCTTCAGAAGACAGGAAGCCAAGGTATGGTGTTGTTTCCCCTTACAGACTGCTTAAGTTAAAGGGACTACTTTGCTCTTTGTGAAGGACTTTACTACTCACTCAAATAACTGGAAGTCCTCTCTTCCTCTCTCTCTAAAAAAAAAACCTCTGTTGGACCAACTCTTCAATGGCTACACTCAATAAAATGTCATGGCTTAATACCCAAGCTAAAAATGTCCAGGCTGAAATGTGATCTTTGCTTAGCAAAAAGAAGTAGTTTTTTTTAATAATCAAGGGAAGTAGTGTAGAAAGCTGCTATTTAGATGAAAACAAACAAACCACAGAGCCATAAAGGTTGGCAAATAAGCGGAGAATGTAGCTCGTGATGGATTTACTGAGCTATCCAATTGGTGTCATTGAAATTGAATCCAGACAGAGGTACTCCTGGTCAGTCACAATGGTGAACAGGGTATAGGGTTACAGCCTGTGTTGGACAGGGTTACACTCCCCCGAAGACTCGGGTTCGTAGCTTGGGAGTTCTCTTGGACTCATAGCTGAGCCTGGAACCCCAAGTATCGGCAGTGGCCAGGGGAGCATTCACATGACTAAAACTTGTGCTCATACCTTGGGAAGTCAGACTTGGCCATGGTAGTCCACACTTTGGTTAAACCCGAATAGACTACTGCAACACGCTCTATGTGGGGTTGCCTTTGAAGACTGTTCAGAAGCTTCAAATAGTCCAACCGACAGCACCCAGGTTGATCACTGGAGTGGCACACAGGGAGCATACAATCCCCCCTGTTGCATCAGCTCCACTGGCTGCCTGTTTGCTACTGAGCACAATTCAAAGTGCTGGCTTTAGTCTATAAACAGCCCAGCTTACCTGTCCAAACATATCTCCTCCTATGAACCAACTTGGAGATTAAGATCATTGGGGGAGGCCCTGCTTTTGATCCCACCACCTGCACAGGCATGTCTGGTGGGAACAAGGGATAGGGCCTTCTCAGTGGCGGCCCCTCAGATGTAGAACTCCCTCCCCAGTGATATTAGAGAAGCTCCCTCCTTCCTGGCCTTCAGAAGGAAAGTGAAAACCTGGCTCTGGGGTCAAGCCTTTGGAGATTAACTACAGTGCAAAAATAACTATGAAATATGTGCATGATTTTTGGAATGGCCCCGGGTTACGATTGTGGGTGTTGTGATTTTAATAGTGATTATAATGTTTATATGTTTAATGTGCATTTTAACTCCAATTTTTAAATTTTAAATTTTAACTTAAATGTATTTGTTTGTTCTTTAAAGGCATCACATTGTTGTCATTTGTAAAGCTGCCTTGAGTCCCCTTCAGGGTAGAAAAAGGTGGGATATAAATAGAGTAAATAAATAAATAAATAAATAAATAAATAAATAAATAAAATGGTCACATCATTATTTTGGTATGAATCTTTAACTCAGGAGAAAAAAAATGCCAGTGCCAAAATATGTCCAGCTTCCCTGGATGACAGTTTGCCTACCACAGTGCATATTCTCTGAAAAACGTAAAAGTAAGGCAGCATAATATTCACGCAGGAGCGATCATGGAGGATGTATGGTGCTCCAGATATAGTAGGATTGTGTCATCCTTCACCCTTCTTCACTCTTGACTAATCTGACTGAGGGATTCTTGGATTCCTAAATAATTTTTCCCCATGCTGACAATGCACAAAGGTACTATGGCATATATTCAGGGTTTCATGTAGAAAGCATTATTTAAAGTAGAAAAGTTAAAAGTATAACTGATGTTATATATTGGTACACACGCACACATGGAGTTGCATCTATGGACCAGACTTCCAATGGATCAATTGCATTTATTTGCCTTCCAGCATCTCTGACCAAATTCTATCCCCATTCTCTTCACTCTCTTGATTCGATACCAAGAGAGCTGCGCAGAATAAAGGCCAGGACCACATTTCTCCATTCCGCACTCTATAATCACTGTCCGCCTCCCTCCCCCAGCCTTTTGTATGTGCTACATTCAGAAAGAGAGAGAAAGAGAAAGAGATAAAGAGAACTGGGCGTGCTTGTGTAAGAAAAGATGGTGGGATTGACAGGACAAGGGAAGGGGGTGTGGAACCTGCTCCTTTGTTGTGTTTTTAATCCAAAATTAGTATTTACTAATATTTCCTGTTTCTGACACAGTCATTAAGTTCCTTTATTTCTTGCTCTAAAATGCTCAACAATAATTCAAGGTTTTAGACCCTGCCAAGGTTATACAGCCCCGTCTATGGATTGTAGTGCTTATTCATAAGCCAGTTTAGCTCTGCACTTGTGTTGCAAAAGGATTGAATTATAGCTTTGGTAGTAGATTAGGTTTCTTTGTATTATTCTATTTATATATCTGGTTGCTCCATTATGCATTTTCTTCATACTATCTTATAAACTGATTGGGGCATATCTCCTTTGCTATTGTGTGTCTAAGTGCCCACCACAGTATGGATGTGAAAGCAAAATTAAATACCTACTATCGGCAGCTTAGGAAATCATTGGTTCTCAATTGCTGCTTTGTAATTTTGCCTACAATTCTGCCTACCTACATTCAGCTTATAAAGAAAATGCAATTAAAGACACGGATTGCTGAGAAATGGGAATTACTTTCCATCTAAGTAATGAGTAAACTTTTGCTATTTAGCTGTTTCTGAGCCCATATACCATTTTTCGTAGCTTTGCTGAGGAAAAGCTTGGGATGACACTTTTGTGTTCTTAGTACAATCCAGTTTATCCAAGTCTGCCCTCAGTTCAGCCAATATCTTGCTTTTGCCTTCAAGTTCTATAGTTAGATACTTAATCTTTATTTTCCTTTTTGCATTGAAACAAGTAGCAAGCTAGCCTTTATTTATTTTCCCAAAGTCTAAACTCTCATATAGGAATGTGGAATAGAGCATCTTCTTAAGCACGTTGGTTGGTTTGTTTGTTTCTATATTTATGGAATAACAAAAGTCCTCAGGGTATCCTAAAGAATAAAACAAGCAAGTTGAAAGCCATGATAATGAATAAGTATAATATGATAACTTTGGATGCAGCTTGAGCACAAACTTGAAATGAAGATCAAAAACAAAGAACAGGGGATAACATGGTGAATGAGGATTTTATGGCTGCAGCAAGATTTCAAAGGCTTTGGAAGAAAAAGGTTGTTTTTTCTGGCAACAAGGTGGTGTTTCTGTAGGTGCCAGGCAAGGCTCTTTTGTGGTGGTGTTCCACAATTGGGGTGCCCCAGTGCATGAAAGACTTGCTCATTGGGCACTAGTTATGGCACCTGAAGAATTAAAGTCCAAAATGTAACTTCCCCAAATTCTGGAACCAAAATCACTCTTTCTTTTGTAACAACTTTCCCCCTCAATTTGAGGGTGGCCCCCACAGATGCAAAAATTGGGTTGTACATACTGGTCATATTCTTGACATGACCTGGAATTGAAATAAATTGAACTAACATTTTCTCAACTTGATGCATGCAAGATGCTCAGCTTTTTAGTAGTGCCAAAGATTGTTTTATTGTACCACAAAAATCAAGCAAAGAAAAAGAAACCAACACTTCTTGGCTGCACAAATGTCATCCCCTTGTCTACGAGACATATAAATAAGTTATAGTTCTGGATTTTTTTTATCAGCCTCAGGGGAGTATAAAACCAGAGTAGCCCATGAGAAGTTATACATAGCCAAAGTTGCTAGTACTTGTATTTCTTTCTAGTATTTCTTGGACTGTCTGAGGCAATGGAGGATGAAACGGTGTTTTCTTTTCCTGTTCATTGTAAATAGAATAAGAAGTCACTCTGCAAATTCTTTCATCCAATGAGGAAAGAACAGTCCAAAAGAGAGTAGTCAACACTGGATAGTATTGGATACATGTATTTGCCTTTCTTTTGTCCCACTTTTTTTCTATTCTTTCATCTGGATACATTTGTATACTTTTAAAAAATGGTGGGTAATGTATATGGCCAGTGTAAAGATCCCTTACCTTGCCAGCCAGGGTGGCAGGGCCCAGGAAGAGACAGGCTAGGTAGTTTCAGCTAGAAGGCCTGGCAGAGAGCTGCTGGAGCCATCTTAGTTTAGGGAAAAGCTCCAGTTCAGAGAGGGGGAGTGGCCGAGGCCTGTGCCAGCCCAGCAACAGCCAGGATTGGTTTAGAGAAGAGGGGCGGAGTTAGCCAGATGGAGGGAAAGAGAAGAGATAGTTTTGACAGTCTGAGTTTTTAGTTCAGCTGAGTTCTGAGTAGAGTAGAGAGCAGTTTTAGTTCTGAGAGAGATTAGAGTAGGAGTTGGATTGTTTAGGAGTCTCTGTTTAGAATAGGCAGCTTGCCTGTAGTTTGCACAGCACAGTAGGCTGTGGCAGACTGAGTTACAGCTATTTTGAGAAAGAAAATAGCTGGGTTTTGTGTTTAATAAATTGTAACAAAGGAAAGAACATTCTCTCAAGAAACCATTACGCTTATAAGTACCAAGAACACTTTTTATTGTAACCATCAAGCCTCTGAACCTGCATTCTCGTGTTATTCTGTAATTGTAATCAATAAACTCTTTCTTGTTATTTTTAAACTTCAAGCCTGAGTCAAGTGCTATTTTTGGTTTTGAGTCCCTTTCCTTATTGAATCAACCTCACCTGTTTTCCCCTCAAAGAAAGCCCTGGTCAATACACAGGTTTTGGGTGGAATAAAAAGCCTTTTAATAGTTTAAACAGTCTTTTTAACATTTTAACTAGCTAGAGGGTTCGTGATTTCTTTAGTTTTGGTGGCAGCGAAGGTTTTACACAACGTGACATCCCCTCAAGCACTATTAGAACCAAAGTGGTTTGAATTCTTTATTGAAGGAAGGACAGTGGTGGGATTTCTTTGATAGTTGTTCCCCCCTGCCTTGATAAGCCTCTCTGAGGCCTTATAGCCAGACAATAGAAAAATGAACCAAAATTACAAGACTGGATAAAATATCAATTGGGCTTGAAATGAATAAGCCTTTGAAAAGACAATGGCTAGAAATATTTTGGCAATCTGTTGTTATGAGATACAGAAACAAGT